ATGTGACCTGACCACATGTCCTGTGAGACCCCTCCAACCTCCATTCTTCCCGGGCTGGCTTACACATACGCAGGAAGGCTTGCAAGTAAACAGAGCCATTGACAGCCAACTGTCCTAGTCAATGGGAGCCATCAAGATTCAAAACCACCATCAATGGCCCACACTTTGCATAATTACAATCATACCTCAGAATTATACTTTATATTTCTAGCTTCAGAGACAAGAGTGAAACATGCAAACAAATTGGGTGAACACACTCAGTAGATTATAATCTTTTTAATGATATTTTATAAGAGACCTTTTGCATGAAGCATATTCCAGTTACATTATATTCACACTCATTAGGATATTTCCATAAAACATATGGAGTGCAGCATAACAAACCCCTTAATGAATTCATAGAAACATAGAATATCAGGGCTGGAAGGGACCTCAGGAGGTCATCTAGTCCAACCCCTAGCTCAAAGCAGGACCAAACCCCAACTAAATCATTCCAGCCAGGGCTTTGTCAAGCCAGGCCTTAAAAAGGATGGTAACCCATTCCAGGGCTTCACCACCCTCTTAGTGAAATAGTGTTTCCTAATATCCAACCTAAACCTCCCCCACTGCAACTTGAGACTGTTACTCCTTGTTCTGTTAATTGCCAGTTAAGGTTTGCAAAGCCCAAGAATCGTTGAACCCCCAGCACATTAGAGGGTGCCTTCCACTCTGTGGTTGCTGCTATCCTGTGGGGTCCAGGGTTAGTTCTGCTGGGGAAATGATGTACCCTAGGAACTCCACTGTGTCCTTGTCAAATTCACACATTTCAGGCTTGGCACAGAGTTCTGACGAAGTCTATCTGGAATGATACATACATAGCAGTCACGGAGCTCTTGATTTGCAGAGAAGATGAGAACGTCCCCTAGATGACCATGACTGATCAAGGATGTCCCTAACGATGACATTTGTAAAACGCTGGAAGGTAGTGGGAGCATTACAGAGGCCATACAGCATGATCAAATATTTAAAATGGTAGTGCTTCATTCAGAGCGCTCTCGGGCTCATCTCGCTGATTCTGACCATGCTATCTGCTCCACCCAGGAGTACATTTAAGAAGAGGGGTCTCTGCAGGAACTCTTTAATAAGGGGACAGAGATACCTATTGCATTCTGTGATTTGAGTTAGTGACAGGTCTTCGATGCAGGGTTGGAGAGAACCATCCTTCTTGGTTACCAAGAATATAGTGCCACCAAGGTTAAAGTCCTTCTGCAGGTTGTCCTCTAGCTATTCCCAGGGGGCTTGGAGCTGTGGCTCAGAGAGAGCATAAATGCATCCGAAGGGAACCTCTGTTCCCGGGCTTAGTTCAATAGGGCAGTTGTAATGGCAGTGGGGTGGTAGGGGGTCTGACTTCAGTTTGTCAAACACCTTGGCAAATTCCAGGTATTTGACAGGAATCTTCGGTGTGGCTTGGCCTGCTGCTTGCCTCTCCTGGAGTCTCGGGGGTTGGAGTGAACCACAGAGCATGGTTGACTGTGGACAGGGGCTCAGGAGGCATTCTCGTTGGCACTGCAGTGAACAACGATTACCAGCCAATTAGGGAGTCATGGGCAACAAGCCAAGGGGCACCAAAGACAACTGGTGAATGTGGGGCACAGATCACCCTGAACTCCATGATTCCCGGTGACCGCTGCTGGTGATGATCTCCAGAGGTGCTGTTTGATAGGTGACGGGCTCTGAAGAGAGAGGTGACCCCCTGATGGTCTCAACGAGCTGAGGGGAGTCCTTGTGGAGGGTAGGAACCCGATGACCCTTGACAGTTTCTTGATCAATGAAGTTACCAGCTGTGTCCGAGTCGACCAATGCCTCCAAGTGGAGGCTGGGCATTGCAGGGTGCTGAAGGGCAGGGTCAGACGAAGTGGAGTGGTGCTCCGGTTATGGGTGTCAGGATTCCAGTGGGGTGGCTCATGGTGTGGTGGAGTGAGGTACTGACCCAGCTCCGGCCCTGCTGCTGGACCTGGGTCCTGGAGTTGTCTGACCCAGAGGGGCAGAGGTTCTCGGTTGGGTCTGGTGCCGGTCCGTTTCATCGGCGGAGAGCTGGGATGGAATTTGGTCACTCTGCGTTGGCTCGGGGTCTGGCAGATTACCTGGAGTCATATGGGGGGAAGGGACTGGTTCAGCGGGGGTTGGCTGATACACGTCTTTGCCTGCCCTCGTTCTGTTAGTCGGTTGCCAGGCCCGATGCATGGCTCGCTCCGGGCCCCTCGGCTAAGTGGTCCCACCCCAGCTAGTTCAGCTGTAAAAGAGCCTCTGAGTCCTTGCCAGTAGTGCTGCCAGCGGCTGGCTGCACTTTGGACTACCAGGCACTGGGAGGGGGTGCCGACAGAGGTGCCAACTGCCTCTCCCCCTGGGGGTTGCTCAACCCCCTGCTCCACCCCTTCCTCGAGCCCCCCCTCCGCCCCGCCTCTTCTTGCCCCCCTCCACCCCACGCCTCCAGGGCTGGAGCACCCACAGAGTCTGCACCTACGGGTCCTGCTGTGGTGGTTCCAGAAGGGACCTCCACGTCATTCAGCCTGCACCCTTCCTATGCCTGGTCTTTTCTGGGCTGCTCGAACTGCAAGCTGCCAGGGCCTTGCCTGGCGGCTCTGGTGGAAGCCCGGGGAAATGCCAAGCGTAGATCCAGGAATCAGGCGCCAGTCTCAGGGTGAAGCTGGTGTCAGAGCCGAGGGGCCAAGCTGAAGGGCAGAACTGGAGTCAGAAGCCAAAGCCTCAGCCGAAGGGTGAGCCAGAGTCAGAGCCGGAGCCAAGAGTCAGAAACCAGAATGGAGCTGGCAGGCTGCTCGCTTTCCCTGCCCGCTCCCACCCCCCCCCCGGCCCCGGAGGCTCTATTTTCACCCCTGTTTTTTGGACCTCTGCCCCCTTTGGCACACCGGGAAGCTTGGACCCCCACGGGCAGTGGGTGGGAAGGGGGGCTGATTGCCAAATCTGAGAGACCTGCATGGAGCAGCCACCGACCCGCCTGAGCCTGTGACCGCCGTGGGGAGGGGGCGCCCTGGCCCGCACACTGCTGACGCAGCCTGCCCCCCGGCAGGTACTGAGACGGCCTGGGTCAGCGGGGGGGCGTGGGCCGAGCGCCCGGGGGGGCCAGGCGGCTGGCTGCCCTCCAGCGATTGCCTCATGCTGGGCCCGGCAGGGGGGTTTGGGCAGTCCAGGCTGGGGTGCGCCGGAGGCACTGAGTGAGGAGCCGGGGCAGGGAGAGGCCGGGGGGGAACAGTTGAGGGAGAGAAGGCAACTAAAGCTGGGGTGACGCAGTGAATACCCACATAGAGAAACCCCCTCCCCCCCCCGGGCCCTGTCTGGCCGTCCTCCTCATCCACCCCCCGGGCCCCATCTGGCCGTCCTCCCCCTCCCCCTCCCCCTCCAGGGCCCCGTCTGGCCGTCCTCCCGCTCCCCCTCCCCCTCCAGGACCCCGTCTGGCCGTTCTCCCCCCGCCCCCAGGGCCCCATCTGGCCGTCCTCCCCCTCCCCCTCCCCCCCAGGGCCCCATCTGGCCGTCCTCCCGCTCCCCCTCCAGGACCCCGTCTGGCCGTTCTCCCCCCGCCCCCAGGGCCCCATCTGGCCGTCCTCCCCCTCCCCTCCAGGGCCCCGTCTGGCTGTTCTCCCCCCGCCCCCAGGGCCCCATCTGGCCACTCTCCCCCCTCCCCCTCCAGGACCCCGTCTGGCCGTCCTCCTGCTCCCCCTCCCCCTCCAGGGCCCCGTCTGGCCGTTCTCCCCCAACCCCCAGGGCCCCATCTGGCCGTCCTCCCGCTCCCCTCCCGGGCCCCTCTGGCCGTCCTCCCGCTCCCCCTCCCGGGCCCCGTCTGGCCGTTCTCCCCCAACCCCCAGGGCCCCATCTGGCCGTCCTCCCGCTCCCCCTCCCCCTCCAGGGCCCCATCTGGCCGTTCTCCCCCCACCCCCCAGGGCCCCATCTGGCCATCCTCCCCCTCCCCCTCCAGGACCCCGTCTGGCCGTCCTCCTGCTCCCCTCCCCCTCCAGGGCCCCATCTGGCCGTTCTCCCCCAACCCCCAGGGCCCCATCTGGCCGTCCTCCCGCTCCCCCTCCCCCTCCAGGGCCCCATCTGGCCGTTCTCCCCCCACCCCCAGGGCCCCATCTGGCCATCCTCCCCCTCCCCCTCCCCCTCCAGGACCCCGTCTGGCCATCCTCCTCCCGCCCCCAGGGCCCCATCTGGCCATCCTCCTCATCCACCACCCCCCCGGGGCCCCGTCTGGCTGTCCTCCCGCTCCCCCTCCAGGATCCCGTCTGGCTGTCCTCCCCCCACTCCCCGGGGCCCCATCTGGCCACTCTCCCCTCCCCACACCGAGTCCAGGCCCAAGGGAGCTGAGTGCTGCCCCTCGCCGGCAGGGCAGGCAGGGGGCCCAGCTCCCCAGGGCCAGCACCGAGACCCCTCTGCTCCTTGGGACAGAGGTGTCCTCCGAGCTGCTCTGACTGCCCCACGCCGTGCGGGTCGATCAGTGCCGCTGCTCGGCCCCTCTGGGCAGCCAGCCCTGCCGCTGGGCCCGGGGGTGGCTGTTCCTACGGGCAGGGCATCCGGGGCCTACTCCCTTGTTGGGGGAGGCTCCTCACCCCCTTTCCCACCACCTCCCACGGTCGCCTTGGGATCTGCAGGACTCCCGCTGCCATTGCTCCAGCCTGGCCACTGCTGGAAGCCCTGCTTCTCCCTGTCTGCTTCCCCCCTGCTCCCTCTCCTTCCTGCCCCACTGCCCGGGCCCTCCGCTCAACCCTTCCTGCAAGCCCAGTTCTTCTGAGATGCCTGCAAGAAAACAGGACCTCCCCGGCTGTGTCCCGCACCCTCCTCGCTCTCCAGTGACCTGCTCCTTCGCGCCGGGGAGGGGGCGGATGTTGGCAGGGAATGGCAGAGAGGTGTCGGGCACTGGGGCAAACAAAGGGGCTGAGTTCTGGAGGCAGAAGGGGCCATTAGAGCAGCCAGCGTAACCAGCACCATGTGACGCAGGCCTGTGCCCACAGGCATCGGGAAATACGTCGCCTTGGACCTGGCCCACAGGAATGCCCGTACCATCCTCGCCTGCAGCAGCAGAGAGCGGGGGCAGGCGGCCGCGGAGGAAATCCAGAGGGCCACCGGGAACCCAAACGTGCCTCTGAGGATCGTGGACCTCAGCAACATGGCCTCCATCCGGCGGTTTGCTAAGCAGATCCAGCAGGAGGAGAAGCGGCTGGACATTCTGGTCAATAACGCCGGAGTCTCAGGTTGGTGGCATCGCGCAGGGATGGGGACAGGCCTTCAGCCACGTCTGCCCAGCCCTGGCTGCAGAACCCCCCCCCCCCCCCCCCCCCCCCCCCCCCCCCCCCCCCCCCCTCCCCCCAATACCACCACTCTGCCCCCCTGCGCCCAGAACCCCCTCCCCTGCGCCCAGATACCAGCCACGTCTGCCCAGCCCTGGCTGCAGAACCCCCCCTCCCCTGCGCCCAGATACCAGCCACGTCTGCCCAGCCCTGGCTGCAGAACCCCCCTCCCCTGCGCCCAGATACCAGCCACGTCTGCCCAGCCCTGGCTGCAGAACCCCCCTCCCCTGCGCCCAGATACCAGCCACGTCTGCCCAGCCCTGCCTGCAGAACCCTCCTCCCCTGTGCCCAGATACCAGCCACGTCTGCCCAGCCCTGCCTGCAGAACCCCCCTCCCCTGAGCCCAGATACCAGCCACGTCTGCCCAGCCCTGCCTGCAGAACCCCCCTCCCCTGCGCCCAGATACCAGCCACGTCTGCCCAGCCCTGCCTGCAGAACCCCCCTCCCCTGCGCCCAGATACCAGCCACGTCTGCCCAGCCCTGGCTGCAGAACCGCCCTCCCCTGTGCCCAGATACCAGCCACGTCTGCCCAGCCCTGCCTGCAGAACCCCCCTCCCCTGTGCCCAGATACCAGCCACGTCTGCCCAGCCCTGCCTGCAGAACCCCCTCCCCTGTGCCCAGATACCAGCCACGTCTGCCCAGCCCTGCCTGCAGAACCCCCCTCCCCTGTGCCCAGATACCAGCCACGTCTGCCCAGCCCTGCCTGCAGAACCCCCCTCCCCCTGCGCCCAGATACCAGCCACGTCTGCCCAGCCCTGCCTGCAGAACCCCCCTCCCCTGCGCCCAGATACCAGCCACGTCTGCCCAGCCCTGCCTGCAGTACCCCTCCCCTGCGCCCAGATACCAGCCACGTCTGCCCAGCTCTGGCTGCAGAACCCCCCCTCCCCTGCGCCCAGATACCAGCCACGTCTGCCCAGCCCTGCCTGCAGTACCCCTCCCCTGTGCCCAGATACCAGCCATGTCTGCCCAGCCCTGCCTGCAGAACCCCCCTCCCCTGCGCCCAGATACCAGCCACGTCTGCCCAGCCCTGCCTGCAGAACTCCCTGTAGGCCTTGCTGGAGCCCCTGGCACAGCTAACTGTATGAAGGAGAGACCGTGAAGCAGAGTAGGCCTGGGCGGGGCAGGCATTAGCTAGCCCCAAGTAAGCACATTCCTGACTGGAGAAGATCGCGCAGTAGCACCCAGAGTAATGGCCTGAAGACATTCCTAGGAGATGGGAGAGGGACTCTCCGAAGGTAAGGGGGGACCAACAGGATAATGGATGGGGATGTTTTGCTCGAACTTGCCAGTACAAGGTTCAGGATAATAACAAAAAGCGTAAGGGTGTAACATGGACCCTGCTCGTATCAATGTAGAAAAGGAGAAGTCACCTCTAGACGTGTGCTTTGTGGCCCATCTTTCTATGAAAGTGGCCTTTCTAGTCGTAAGACCATCAGCCAGAATTCAGGGAGCTGGGAGCGCTCACGGTGGATTTGTCAGACGTTACCTTCAGTAAAGAAAAGTTCTCCCTGCGCCCACACCCAAGATTCATCCCTACAGTCGTTTCAGACGAGTCCAACCATCCACTTACCAGTATTTGTTTCCTAAGCCGTGGGCCTCAGTTTAAGAGAGGAGGCTGTGTTCTCTGGACGTCTGAAGGGCACTGGCCTTTTATCTACAAAGGATAAAAGACACCTCAACTATTTGTTCCATAGCAGAGAGATCAAGGGGTCCAGCTCTATCTGTGCAGTGGCTTTTGAAATAGATCCCTGGCTGCCTTATTCTTTGTCACCAACCAGCCCACGTGCCTCCCCCAGAAGGGGTGAGGGCCCATTCCACCAGAATTCAAGCAACCTCTGCTGTACCCCGAGAGACGTACCCCGACTAGAGATATGTAGAGCAGGCACCTGGAGCGCCCCACACGCCTTCATGAGACCTTATGCTTTGGTCCAGCCTTCTACGGCAGGTCTAGCTGTGGGCACGGCGGTACTACAGAGACGTCTGCCTCCTCCCACCCACCTCCTGTTTGCTCCCTGCTTGCTCATCGCCTGCACACTTGAAGAAGACATGGAGATGACCTACCTGTAACTGGAGGTTCTTTGAGATGTGTGGTCCCGTCTGTATCCCACACCCACTCTCCATCCCTTCTACTGCCGATTCTCTGGATTTGCTGTAAGAGAAGGAACTGGAGAGGCATCAGACTGCACGGCCTTTTGTGCCCTCAGTTTGGAGCAGGAGGAAAGCTACAGTGCATACAGGTCTGCATGCGTCCCCCACGCGTGGGATACGGCCCGGGACCGCACATCTCGAAGAACCTCCAGGTACAGGAAAGCAACCTCCAGGGGTTTAACCCTCTAGCCCCACACTGGGTGCCAGCAATGTATTCGTTTAGATGGACTATATGGGCTACAGGTCTTAATGTAACCCAGCCACATTATACCGTGTTTAAACCAGGTCTGGGGTTTGGTACACACAGACCTCAGCCTGCTTAGCGCCCTGGCAAACACCCCATTAAGCATCCGTTTAGCCGGTTATTAAAGATACAGAAAAGAGGGGAAAACAGCGAAAACCTTTGAAATGTCAAGTATTAAGTAAAGAGACAAGATGAGTGAGGCCTTTATAGGACCAATACCCACCTCAGCCGCCTTGTGCCCACTTCGTCTCTCTAATATCCTGGGTCCGAAACAGCTGCAGCTACACTGCAAGCAAGTATTGCTTGAGGCTTCCATGGTGACACCATCCCTTGTTCCCTTTCCCTTGTGCGGGGGAGAGTTTTTATGACCTCCCTGGTCTGACAGTCTGTTAGAGGGTATCAACCACGGTGATAACTGTGCTTCTGGGGAAAGGAGAAGACTTTCGCTGAGACAGGCTGGAGCTGCTGCTGCTGTTAAAGTCCAAGCCGGTGTCATCCCAGCCCGTCCCCTCGTTACCCTGTCGAGCAGCAAGGTCTAGTTTCCAACGCACCGATTTGGATCCCCTGATTTCTGGTTCCGTGCTGTTCTCCTTGACCAGGCCCGGTCTTCGCACAGTCCTTGAGTTCCGTCATGAGGCCTTTCTCTTTGTACTCATTCAGCCTGTCTGCCTTTGCCCCTCTGCGTTTGTTGTCGTAGGTTACGGTCACATCCTACAACTGTCCACTTGCTTTTCACAGCGGAGCTCACAAGCCGGGTACCTTTGTTGCCCAGTTTTCCCAACAGCCAGTCTCCATTAGCACGCGGACCTGCTGTGAGGTGCCCAGCACCAGTCCAATGCCCCATTGCTAACCGGGCACATGGCACGGCTGGCCCTTGCCACGGTGACCTCTACATGTCGTCTCTCCGAAGCTGCCAGGTCTCCCTGGGTGGCTGGGAGAGCTTTGTTCATTACCCAGCCCACGGCAGATCCCCCGCCAAGGTTATTCCCTGTCTGACAGTAGCACTGAACTACCCCATCAGGGATCGGGGCCCACTGGGCCAGGCGCTGCACCGGAGCACTCAGCCTGGGTGCCTGCAGGACGCAGCCCGGCCGGGGCTGGGACGGACACCTGGGGGGTGGCACCAGTGAACAGACAGAGCTTAGCAGGAAAGCAGGTGTCTCAGCTCAGCCTGGGGCTGTGGCGGGCAGGGAGCACGAATCCGAATGGCACACACAGCCACCCACCCCCGACTGCCCAGCCAGGGCCTGCTGTGCCAGTCCCCTCTTCTCTTCCAGGTTTGCCGTTCTCCATCACCTCCGAGGGGCTGGAGCAGACGTTCGCCACCAACTACTTGGGCCCTTTTCTTCTTACCAATTTGCTGCTGGGTAAGAGCTGCCCCAGGAACTGGGCACTCACTGGGCTGGGGGAGAGGCTGCCCCCGGCATTGGGCACTGCGGGGCTGGGGAAGGGGCTGTCCCAGGAACTGGGGACTGGCTGGGCTGGGAGAGGGCTGCCCTGCTGCCCCTGGCATTCCCCTGGGGCATGGACCCAGGTCTTGCTCTGGCTGTGCCGGGGCTGGGAGCTGACCCCCCGTCTGCTGCCGAAGGGTCTCTCTGAGCTGGGGCTTCTCCCCGGCCCCTCCTTCCCATGTGGGAGCCCCCCTCCCGCGCCACCCACTGACTTGCCTGTTCACTTTTCCCCTCCCCCGCACAGACACCATGAAGGCGTCCGCTCCCGCCCGCATCGTGAACGTCTCGTCCTTCGTACACTTCCAGGGCATGGTCAACATGAAGCACCTGACCGGGGAGGAGAGGACCAAGAACTTTCACCAGACCTACAGGAACACCAAGCTCATGAACGTCCTGTTCACCAAGGAGCTGGCCAGGAGGCTGCAGGGCACGGGTCAGTGTGATCCCGCCCTGGTGCCGGCAGAGGCCAGTGCCCCCAAGAGACCAGGGCCCCGTGGCCCCTCCTGAACCCTCCCACAGCTGTGTTCGCGCCTCACGCCCCCCTGGATTTACGCAGCACCTTGGCAGAAAGGGAAGTGATGGCCACTGGCCCTGTGACTCAGAGGTGCTGTCCCAGGCCCGGTGGGTTGCAGCAGACAGGCCTCACGGGGGGTGGTCCCACCCAGCCCTGAATTCCCTGAGGAGGGTCCTGAGCCTAATCCCTGCCATCTAAGAGCTGCCCTGTCCTACAGACACCCCCTGGCCCAGTTACCGCAGCTGTGGGTGCTCTGTCCCGGCTCTTGTTCCACTGGGCAGCTGCACTCACTTGACTCGCCCCAGTCGTGGGACCCGGGGGGGAAGGGGGGAGAGGGAGTCTGTGCTTGCAGCATTCCCAAATTACTCCCCAGCGATGTCAAGGGTGTGACTCCTCGAGGTAAAGAACAGATGCTGCTAGGCGTCACGGCCTCCTCGCACGTGAGCAACTCTGGGGGGGCTGTGAGCTTTGCAGGAAGATGTGTAAGCGGGGGGGGGGGGGGAGTGAGGGAGTGAGAGCTTGTCTGCTTCCCAGGCTGGCTGTGCCGGGGGCTGCTCATTCCATCGTGAGCTCTGCTAGCCCTTCCGCTGCTTCCTGAGCCAGGGAGGACACCGCACCGTGGACATTTTCTAGGGCTCGGTGAGAAGCTGCCAGGGTCCCGGGGCACACCCCAGGGAGTGGGGTGGGGTTTGACTTCACAGCAATTCCCATGTGGCCCCACTGGTCCTGTGTAGCTGGCGAGGGTCTGGGGCAAGGCTGGGCTACCCAGGCAGCAGGAATTACCAGCTTTTATTTCTGTAACTTGGGTTGTTTTCACTGTCCATGTAAATTTCCAAACCTCTCTTGATGCCACAGTGAAATCAAGACCCAATGGCCAGATTTTCAAACGTATTTTGGTGCCTAACATCCACTGAAATCAATCTCTGGGTTTCGGTTTCTTTCTGTACCCATGGGGATAACAGTGTTGCCCTTTGTGACCTGAGAAGCTAAGCAGAAGTTGGGGCTCTTGTTCGTTGTTCCAGGTCGGAGGATGAATTGGTGAGAGTCAGGGATTTCTTTGGTGCAGTCTTGTTTCTTTACAAAAGGTGTACGAAGCCCTGTTCCCCTGAACATAGAAATCAAACAGCAGGAGCCAGCGTCTGCTTGCTGCTCCAGGCCTGCCTACCGCCAGCACTCTGCGCCCAAAGAGCTGTCTCTCTGAGCTCTCGCTCATGGCCACATTACTAGTTGTCTGTTACTGTTGACTTGGCTTTCTCTTGCTGCTTCAACATGCCCTCCCTCTCTCTCACCCCCCACGCCCCACCCTTCCACCAGTCCTCTTGGGCCACATGTTTTAGCTTCTACACACCATTTCCATGTGCCTGTGTTTTGGGGGGCTACTGCTATTGTTTCAGCGACCTCCTCACAATGATTTCTTGACACCTATCCGCTACGGAAGGTGGTGACCAGGCCTGGCCCATAACAAGGTATAACCGAACCAGTAGCTGTAACACGGCCTGGTGCATGGGGGGCCTGTGAGGATCAAGGCACTGAAGATTCAGGCTGTGAGGCTTCAGATGCTACAGTGATAGCACCTGAGATAGACAGAAATTAGAACAGCCCCTGCATGATCTCAGCCCTCCTGCAGCTCTCCTGGCAAACGAGGGGGTGTTTTGTTCTGAGAGAAGACGAATACTGGGGGGCAGCATAGCGAATGGGACCGAGCAAATGGGGCACTTGTATTGACCCTCCACAACACAAGAACAAGGCAAAAGTCAATGAAACTGACAGGCAGAACATTTAAACCTGACCAAAGGCAATACTGTTACACTGTGTGTAATTAGCCTGTGGAACCCACTGCCACCATATGTGGTTGAGACCAAGAGTTTAGCAGGGGACAGTGAAGGGTCACCTGGATAATGAGAACAATCAGAGTTACAGAAATAAAGGGTGGGAACTTTTCTGCGTCAGGGCACACACGAATCTCTAACGATCAGCGGTCAGGAATTTCCCCCCAGGGCAGATTATCCTGTCACTGCCTCCTGCCTGGGTTCTTGCTCCTTGCTTTGGAGCAGCTGGTGCTGGCCACTGTCAGCAACAGGAGACCGAGTTGGATGGAGTGCCGACTTTGGCAAGTCACCTGTCTGGAGCTCATTATCCTGGGCTAACTTTCCCCCCTTCTTCTGTCCATTTGCTGGGTCTAGAAAAGGGCACTGGGTTGGACTGTCTCTCCTACAGACTCTGGGGGAACTTGCCATGGCCAAGCCCCGTGCTCCTTCAGCTCTTCCCCATGGTACTGGCCCTGGCAGCCGGCATGGCCACAATGGCGCTAAGGATTTGCAGTTTCTGATCCCCAGGCATTGTGCCCTGACTGGCATCTCTGCCCTCCGAGGCCTCTTTCAGCGCTGTGATTTTCTCCGTATCTCACAGTGCCTGATTCTCCCCTCATTTGGTGGTTTTGACCTGGGGCAGCTCCACTGATCCACACCAGTGTTAGTGAGAGGGGAACTGGGTCCATCTCCTCTTACAGCTTCACGGGCATGCCCGGAGCAGGTGAGAAACGCCCCATGTGTTCCCAGCTCTTCGGCACTGTGAGCCCTAGCATTTCTCACCCAGCTGGGATCTGCTTTGGCTGCATTGAAATTCTGTTGCCTTGGGCCTTTCCATTGAGTCATTCGGTGTGGTGACTCCTTCCCGGGAGACAGCTGTCCTTGAGAACAAGCTGGGCATGATCTTTGCATCTCGTTCATTTCATCATGTCCTTATATCAGCCTTGCTTTCATCTGGCTATCCCTCTGGCTTGGGCCTGCGTGACGCACAGTGCAGCCTCAAGGCCTGGCTCCTTGCCCCGGGGGGAGCTGTGATTACCTCTGGGTGCCCACGCTGTTCACGTGATCACATGTTAGATGGCAGAAAGTCTGTCTGATCATCCATTCTCAGGGGCCTTTGCCAAGGCTGTCACTAACCCCCACTCTCTCACCCTGCTGTTTAAGGCCCTTCCTGCCCCACTGTGAGCTGGCCCCTCGGTGGCAGACCCCATAGTAGCTCTCCAGGCCTACGTCCCCTGAAAGTTTGTCAGTGCCATTGGTTTCACATAGGGTGCACCTAGGGTGACCAGACAGCAAATATGAAAAATCGGGACAGGGGGTGGGAGGGTAATAGGAGCCTATATACGAAAAAGACCCAAAAACCGGGACTGTCCCTATAAAATGGGGACATCTGGTCATGCTAACTGCACCTGAAGGCCACTCAGAGCCTGCAGCTGGTGCAGAATGTATTACACACTGCTTCTCCCAGGGAGCAAGTGGGCCGTGTGATCTCCAGTGGCTCCCACTAGGTCTCTGGTCCTTGGTCTTGACCTGTAGGATCTGGCTACCAGGGAGTTTTTAAAAACGAAAAGGGATCCATCCAGGAAATGGAAGAAGGGGCATGTCACCAAGGAAGTTGTGATGATGCTGTCTGTGGGAGCCAGCTGAGGTCACTCAATTAGGGTGAACTGCAAATGCAACAGGGCAGACAAACCCCAAACGCTGGTGGATATTCCAATACTTAGATTTACTAAGCCAGCACAAAACGACTTCTGTAGTGCCTCCCTGGTTACTTAGAAGTCTAAACAACACAGTTCCCTTAAAGTATCCAGCCTCAGGCTTCCATCCAGACACGCATGTCAGATATGACGATGATTACTGAAAATCTTATCTCATCATATAAAAGAAAAGGTTCTTCTGATCCCAAAGGACCAGCCACACATCCAGGTCAATATAAAACTTAGATCTTATTTCAAATACACTCTTATAGTCAATTCTTGTTAACTAAACTAAAATTTATTAAAAAAGAAAAGAGACTGAGTGTTGGTTAAAAGATCAATATACAGACAGATTTGAGTTCAGTTTCTTGAGGTCCAGATACATAGCAGAGATGAGCTTGTAGTTGCCAAAAAGTCCTTTTAGAAATAGTCCATAGGTTTTAGTCCAATGTCCATATTCAGGGTGACTCCAGCCAGTGCCTGGGGATCTCAATCCTTGTGGCTTAAGGTTTCCCCCTCTTGAAACCCAAAGCAGATCTGAGATGAAGAAGGAACATGTCCCAGGGTTTTTATACATTTCCTGCAGCCTTTTGGCCTGAGAAAACAATAGGCTTAACTTTCCTTCTCCCAAACATCACAGGATAATTTATCCATTAAACAGTTCAGATACCGGTTACCACAACCTTCAAAGAGACATATAGACAATGATACTATTTCACTCATGATTTCAACAATTTCCATCCCACCATCAACCTCAGCCTGGTCCAGTCCACACAAGAGATCCACTTCCTGGACACTACAGTGCTCATAAACGATGGTCACATAAACACCACCCTATACCGGAAACCTACTGACCGCTATTCCTACCTACATGCCTCCAGCTTTCACCCTGACCACACCACACAATCCATCGTCTACAGCCAAGCTCTGCGATACAACCGCATTTGCTCCAACCCCTCAGACAGAGACAAACACCTACAAGATCTCTGTCAAGCTTTCTTACAACTACAATACCCACCTGTGGAAGTGAAGAAACAGATTGATAGAGCCAGAAGAGTTCCCAGAAGTCACCTACTACAGGACCGGCCTAACAAAGAAAATAACAGAACGCCACTAGCCGTCACCTTCAGCCCCCAACTAAAACCCCTCCAGCGTGTTATTAAGGATCTACAACCTATCCTAAAGGATGACCCAACACTCTCACAAATCTTGGGAGACAGGCCAGTCCTTGCCTACAGACAGCCCCCCAGCCTGAAGCAAATACTCACCAGCAACCACACACCACACAACAGAACCACTAACCCAGGAACCTATCCTTGCAACAAAGCCCGTTGCCAACTGTGTCCACATATCTATTCAGGGGACACCATCACAGGGCCTAATCACATCAGCCACACGATCAGAGGCTCGTTCA